ATACGCATTAGTATGCTAATCCGATATTAGTAATAACGGAAAACCACCAGTTAGTAAACGAAATCTGTGTTATGTCACAAGATGATAAAATGCAGAATACAAAATGAGGTGAATAGATGAGTAGTGTCAGATAGTTTCATAACTACTACACACTGAGGAGCAATAAATAGAAATTTGACTCTACTTTCAAAATCATTCGTGTTTTTGTAAAATTATGCATTGAATAGCTGAATGTGATAATGATGTTGACGTATTGTTGTTTTTCAGACAACATCAGAATATGGGAAGAGTAAAGAAGTCTCAGTCAACGATTTGCAAGAAATCTGTCCTATAGTAAGTCGTGACTTGTATAAATTTTGAAGTATTTTGCTTACTCAGCGTTGTTGTATTTGTTGTATTTTGTTTAAAATACAATGAGGAATTCAGTTATTGTTGTTTTGGATGCAAAGTTGATTGTTAGAACTGTTTTGTCATACAATAAGTGAACGAACCATTTGAAACCATTACGAAAATGATAAAACTATTTAATTTATCACAAACAGAGCCAAGCTCTAAACGGACTAAACTTATGTGCATGTTTGCGCTTGTTTATAATAAAAAGAATGAAATCTCTGTCTTGTTGACAATGTTTTCACTTTGTGAAAATTCTAGATGATCTTTAGGTAGAAAGATGTCTTTCACCGATAGGCCATATCAATAGAAAACTGATGGTACTAATTCGCGAGATGGGCTTCTACAATATTCTGCAGTACTGAACATGTCTTCGTACACTATCAACTTTGCATAGAATCCATATTTCTACCCGTAGAGTGTAACCCTCTTAAGCTGCTAACAAACAAACACTTTGTGAAAATTCTGGATGATCTTTAGGTAGATAGATTGAAAGTTGTATAACAGATGTCTGCCATCGATAGGCGATAACAATGGAAAACTGATAGTACTAATTCGCGAGATGGGTTTCCACAATATTCTGCAGTTATCAACATGTCTTCGTACACTTTGCATTGAGTCCATAATTCTACCAGAAGAGTTTAACCCTCGTAAGCTACTATGTCATTCAAGGTCTTCAACCATTGGTGACTTTCGTCTCGCGGACCTCAACCAGGTAGCCTACATCTACCAACATGATCCAGTCCACTTGTCAGTAATTTCATGGATTTCTGCCACGTTTTGGTTTGGCCGCATCTAGCTTTCGCCTAGCGTGTTCCTACACCACAAAACATTTGTCGTCGAGGCAGTCGGTGGTCCGGCATTTTTCACACTTGTCGTAACCACCTCAAATGATGAGGTTTTATTACTTCATTCATTGACCTGCTATCCTCACCTGGCACCCGTTTCTTAACGAAAGGATTGCTTACTCGGTTGTCTCACGATGCACGAGCAATGCTTCGAAGAAACCTACGATCTGAAACGAGTGGGCCGCGAAAATCTTCTAACATTACTGGCCAAGTTTCATGATCGTAATGTAGGACGGATCGAACCATTGCGCAGTACACTCGTCCTTTATTCAGCAAACGAATATCCTGCCTTCTCCACAAGTGACGCAATCTAGGATCTCAGCCAATCTAGCTGCTAAGACTGAACCACCATCCCTAAAATTCTCAGGGGTAAGCCCATCAGGACCTGCTGCTCTACCTTGCTTCAGAATTCCTATCGCTTTCTCAGCTTTACATGTGCGATGAGTTGGTCGTGAATATAAGCGGGTTATTAGGGGATATAAGAAGGATTTGATTTTGACCGATTTGGTCTCGAGTGCTGTTACTTGTATGAGCACGGTTTTCACTTCCCCGCTGCCCACACCATGGAAGGCTGTTTTTGAGGAACATGAAAACAAAGGAATAATAATTTTTGTCTTAAATACCTGGGAGTGTGACCACAGAGTCAAAGGGACTGCTACTTGAGGCCGGTCATGCACGGCTTTTTTATGAAAAGTTTTTAAGCTCCTCTCTTTTAATTCCATTACCGCTCATATCGCACATAATGTAAATAATCAATTGCGTTGTGAGACTTCCTTGGTTTCGGATTTATTGTACAACGGAATTTTTAATCGGACATGAGATATCATCTGGTGATCGCCCACATCAATAACGATTCAATGTTACACAGTTGCCTGTGAAGCAAGATTAAGAAGCAGAGAAGAGAAGTATTGTGAGAAAGAAATTCACGTGTATCAGTTGATCAGAGTAAGCTGAGTGATAATAAATATACATCGAAAAGTCATTCGGAGATACGATACATTTTTTAATGATTCTGAATGCTTGCTTCAAATATTTTACTTTTACTAGATGGAATGGGAAAAGCTTTTCGACGCCGTAGTCAAAAGTGTGAAGTATTCGAGTTTAGGAGAAGTAAAAATTGTTGTCAAAGATCAAGATTCTTTGCATTACGCCTGTCAACAGTTTACGGATGCTATGAAAGAAACGGAAAGCAGAAAGTAATTCTTCACACTTTCGTTTCAAGTTTTCATAAACGAATTATTTAATTAGATATCGTTTTAATATAGTGTAGGATCAACTTTCGTTCACAAAAAGTTAAACATCATCTAGCACATATTTATTCATTAATTGTTCAGCTTTTGAAATTTTCTCACGATTCACATCTTACTTCACTCATGCTGTCCTACATATATAGTCAACATTTGAAAATGATAAGATTAACATTCAGTGTAAACACGATTCGGTTATTCAACCTTATGCACACCTTGATAATTTAGATTGTTATGGTTATTGTAAACGTGAAGTAGTCCGGATAAGATCACTGAACTAAAAATTGAAGCCAAAATAAACTTTAGTTGATCAGACTCTTATTTAAATATAATATTCAAAAATAACATATCTTACCAGTCGATGTTGTTTATGCACATGATAGTAAAAGTAATTTCAGTTAGGGTTCGCTATATGCATTGGGACAGCAAACATTTATTTTTGTTTAATTCTGCAAAGTTTGTATGAATGATATATATTCCATGGAGTGGATTTATTCATTTTTATATGTGATATGAATAAAGATAAACGAAAGGTAAATATGAGGTTCAGTTGTTTGACAGTAAGTATAGTTTTTAGGAAAGAAATTGAAATCCAAGGGTATGCAATTAATATTTAGACCAGAAATCCTGATCAAGGTAGGAAAAAACATCAAATTCAATTCTGCCTACAATCATCGAGACCAACTGCTGCGTTTTTGTATTCTCATCCAATGTTCATGTGAACGGAACATTCATAGTCGTCTGCAATGTTTGAACAAGTTCTCTCACCAGTTTGAATTAATACATTTTACTGATAGTATGAGCCGATTGAAACCATCCTCGTCATTACCTAGAATTATAATGAAAGACAATATAAATGATCATTGTGTGAATCTATTTCATATCAAAGTAAACGGATGAATATAATTAGGAATGATATTTATTCGTATGCTGTGTTTATCGTGTATATTTCATTTCATGTTCATGTGATAGATATACATATCTTTAGATCTAACCATATAATAGGAATACAGATTCGACGAATTTTGTAAATTTTGAATCAAATACCGATCTAATACTTGGCTTTTTCTAATCACTCTTGTAGTAATTTACATAATATGATCGTGATCAGTTTTTTGTACAACATGAGACACACGTTGAATGAACATTTCGGAGAGTTTTATCCTGTTGATAATCGTAAGTATCACTTTTTAATCAGACAAACAAGAATGTGTGTCGGTTTTGTCTAGTTTCTAAACTGATATAAGACAAGTGAATAAATTGTAATCATTTTCTGAAAACAGGTCGTGTATTTGAATAATGTTACATCGTCATGATATTTTGTTGACATAAATTGGACGCTAAAAGTCTAGATAAGTAATGAAAAGAACTGGTTAAGCGGAAGGTAGACAAAAGACTTAATAATCTTTGGTCAGTAATGTCTTGCAACAATCGCTCTCATCTTTGTTTGTTGTGTGGCTTCAACAACCGAATTTATCACAACAAATGAGTATGAGGTGATCAATTTGATGTAGAACTGGTAATGCAAAGTGTTATATGCATACACTGCTAGAATGAGGATCACTAAATGTAAGCGAAATCGATAATAAATTGAAGGCATTTTCTCGCTCTACAAATGACAAGTTTCGGTCAAAGACGGTATTCAGCTTTTTCTCTGCGCCTTACTTTGTTCGGTTATTAAGAAAAACTTATGATTTATCAACAAAACTTCGAATGGACTTTAGACCTATGAGTTAATAATTGAGTAATGCTTATTCTCAGCTAAGTCAAGATGCATATTGGTCACTAATATCTTCTACATCTCAATTAATATGTTTTTCCACAGTGCCACCCATCTGTGTACTCTTAGTGGGTTCAACAATCAACTTTATTCTAATGAATGAGTATGAGGTGATGAAATTTAAACATTATTGGCAATGGGAAAAGTTCTGTTCCTGCGATACTGAAATGACGATCACCTAATGTAACACGAACTGAAGGTTTTACTGCTAAAAATTTGATTATTTCGGTACTGGACTATAGCAAGCTTTTTCTCCATATATAAGTTTATTCCATTAATATGTTTATCATTGAAATATTCAGATAAAACTTCACGAAATTGCGTTGATGCGGTGAGAGAAAATTTCCGATCGGTGTTTCAAAGACATCTTGAATATCCCAGTGTAGATGGGGATACAGAAATGAAAGTGAGTTGAATAAGTGATAATATAGTGCTTCGAATTTGCGATTGTTTATAAAGCAAGTAAATGAGTTGTTTTACAATCTACTATTGAAAACAATATATGTAGGTAGTTTGGGCAGAAATTAATTTGATGATGAAGAATAAGGCTTTAGAATTGTACTGTTCTCACATATACTCGAACGGATTATCCACCATTCACTGATGTGTTGATCTCTGCAATAACGTTTTCGATTTTTGAAGCTGATCATTTTACTAATAATATTTTTATTATTATTGGCGATTTATTTCATTTAGGCAGTCTCTTTGATCAGTTTCACTTTTTATGTTGAATAGGTTCGTGAAATGATCAGTGACTTGAAGAAAACTTTGATTCGATCATTGTCTTCAAAGTCATGGCCTAGTGAAGAAGAGAAAAGTAGAGTTCTTCAATCGGTTTGTCTCATTTCGATAAATTATTTATGCATTAATTCAATGCACTATTTAGGTTGAAAAAATTAGTGTGTCTACACCCTACCTACAGAATTTCCTTAAACAAGTCATCGAATCGCCGGAGTTTCAAATTGATGTAAGTTTCACAATTAAAACATTATTCATTATTCGGCAAATCAAATGACGCGTGAATTCACCAACAAAGTGATTCATTGTGTATGGATAACGAAATTTAGCTTTTGAATCAATCGCTTTGTGGCATGACCTGTTTGTAAATTAATAATTGCCAATTGTTGTATACTCGATTGTCTCCTGACTAATTTGATTTAAGGATAGATTCAGTAGGACAGTATGAGTGAGCCGGTGGACATAGTGTGATGAAATTTCTAACAGTTCTCTTCATCAAATGAGTGAAATAACCATGAAAATACTTTCTAAAATCGTTTCATTTCCTTTGTAGGAAAAATTGTCAGAAGGTAACTACTTCACGAATGTCTACGTCTCTCAAAAAATAAACCACCTTGATTCGATATACAGACTCTACAAGATAAGCCTTCAGTGAGTTGTTGTTTTGATATTTTTTTGTCAACCATCATGAATGAACGTTGTGGTAAAAGGACGAATAGGGCTGTCCGTAATATTTAAAACGTTAGTTTTAAAACTAGCCGTAAAATGAGGTGTTGTGTAACAGTGTTCTTGTCTCACATTACAAGGTTTCATGTAGTAAAAAAATAGAGATAATGGTCTGGCATTTGACATCAATCCTTTATAAAACATTATATATAGTGTACGCCGTAGTTTAGTAGTCATTTGAATCAAATTTGTATAACAATGAAATGCTCAATGATGTATAATCACTTAATGTGAGTTGATCAAATAACAAAACAACTGAATAAATTGATGTTAGATAACACAGTACAGTAACTAGTGTATTTGAAGTACTTTATACATTTTACCGTCATGTACACTGTAAATAAGATGTACTAATGTACATTTATATGACAAAACAGCAACAACATGAAGAGGATTGAGACACAAGTCAACACTATCCTTATTCTATTGATCTGATATTAAATCTTCAGTATTTGATAAGCATTTTGAACTGTGTACACTATGTTGATATCTAGGATATTGTTTCTTCTAATAATATTTTATTGTGGCATTGCTGTCATCCTGAATAGAGTCACTTGTTATCTAGAAATCAGTTAGTGGTGAGCCTGCGCTTTCGTTTATTCGCTGATGATAATTCTGGTAACACGATTGTGAATCAACTTCTGCGTTACGCACTTTAGATGTTTAAGACTGGAACAAATAATAACTGTACGACATCATTTAGGTGTGTTTTCTTTTTAAAAATACTCGAAACCTTAATTTTTCAGTATTGTACAAGACAAACCTGGACAAGTGCTATATCCTGAAATATATCTGTCTGCTGCGTTATTACACCCGTCATTTCTGAGTAAATCATATTCAATATCTCAAAAATACGGAATTCTCGGTTGGCTGATTGGTCGTCAACTAATATTTGAAGGTAACAATCACCATATTTTTCTTTGCGTAATCTTATTGAATGTAAAACTGAATATTTTGAATTGATTGCGAACAGTCGAGATTTGCTTATCTGGTCTCATTACCAAGTGACTAAGTGAATTGTATTGATTGTGTGTATTTCAGCTAAATCTGTTTAGTTACCTAATCTATCTAAACTGAAGCACGTGTTACATGACAGTATATAGTCGACAGCAACTTAGGTGCTGTTATCAATTTATTGTTCCCTTAATTACTCATCAGATAGTAAAACACAACGAGTGCAAATCTGTCATTCTTGTATACGTCTCTGACCATCCACATTAGTTGGTCAAATGAACTCATGGACGAATGAGATATACATATTTCGTATTACAACATATCAGTTGAAATGGAACTGATGCTGATCACTGTGTGAATCCGAAAACTTTAATCACATTAGATTACAAGTCGATTTTGAAAACCCTAACTAAATGTGTTCAATGGAATTCAAATATAATTATCATTGTTTCGTATTATAAAGCAGTCAAAATTACACAGCTTCAAAGCAAAGGTACTATTTAGTTTACAGTATTATAATCTGTGAAACATGAATCATCAGGTGTGTTATTATTGAATTAGTGGGGCATTTGAATCTAACGGATGTGTAGGAATTCTCCTCATTGAATGTTGTCTTAATAACTACTCATGTGCCTTGTGCAATTCTAACCTGTACAGCAGTTATGAATTTTAACACACACTTTGTGTTAATTTCCGAAAATGTTAGTTAAATGACTATTGCATTACAGCTTTTAGAGGTGATCAGTTTGATGAAAATGACTTCTCTCAGTCAACTTGCGTACCAGGAAATCCGTCACCGATTAAAAATCAAATGTGCTGTTTATCAAGAAAAATTGACGCTCGGTTGGCTGAGAAGCAGGTGAGTGGTCTATCAGTAGAGCATTTTGTGGTTGCATAGCTTGACGTTTGCACAGTTTTTAGTATTCGACTTGTAAGACTTGCTTTCAACGTATAATATTCAAGAAAGTCTATTCAAAAAAGGTCACGTTTATTCGAAGAATGACACATCTCATGTTAAAAAAACAACGATAATCTGTACATGGTTTGTGAATTTGGATGTGTGTTGTTGACAAGTCCAGGGAATTAATAACATCAACACTGCATAATGTTATCAATCATAAGTTAGAAATCTCTTGACAGAAACAAAGTTTGAAAGTTGACTCAGTCATTTCACTTGGGAAGACAAAACATTAGACAATTGTGACCATTTGTTTCTCACTGCTGTTCTCACTTATTCTGAGAAGATTAACAATAACAGAGTTATTTTTCGGAACCGTTTCGGTTGATTTCGGTATTTGAAGATGGTTGGTTACTATATCTTTATTTGATTTCATCATTCAGAAAACGAGATTATTTATACTATGTTGAATTCTGCAAACCAACATATAATCTGTTCGATATGCTGGTTGGACATGGAGAGCCTGACAAATGCGTTGTAACGTGAATGTAATCAGGTCTCAATAAAGCGGTAATTTGACATCTAGTTCTGACGTACATTGAATTCTCATTCGAATGAGACTACTTGAAACTTAGTGACTTTTCAGAAATGTCAACTACAAGGCAATCTTTTCAGTGACCCGGTGGCTTTTTATTCTTCATTCATCCTGTAATTATCAATCTACATCTTGTGATTTTGCAAATTATTTGCATATTGGACATTGATGCAGTCACGCTTACTTTGCAAAGTTCGTTAAATGAACAAATCATGCTCCACATAATAATATTTGTGTTGTCAGTCGTCGATTATCGATATATGTCATTCAAACTAGACCAATTCGATCGGTTTAACTCACGTTTAAAAATAGTACAACATAACATAAGTCACACTTAAATTGCTCGAATTACTTTCATTGACATTAACTACATTTCATGTTGTCTCAATATTTTTCATATCACTTACGATTTGAAGCAAATGGCAGCTGATATCAATGGTCTTATGTTATCCTTTTCAGTAAGTTAACTTACTTAGGATTCCATTTATTTTATTGCATAACAATCAAGATATTTAGTGAATTCACGCTTCGAAAATTTGTGTTTTTTGTTGTCATTTCTAAAATGCTCCAGTTGACTTTTAACAGCGGTAAAAAAGCTAAGATTTCAAATCAACGTAATGAATGAATCAGCGTTGCTTTGGAAACAATTAGATTTCTCTTTCGATCGGACAGCGCACAAGCGACTGTCATCATATCCGCTGCCTACAGTAATCATAATATGAATAAAATTCATCTACATTTAGAAATAAATAGTATATTTCTGTTATTCGAACAGCAGAAACTGTCAAACCTCAATAAAAGTGCAATCACATTACTAACATAATTGTTTCAATGTAAATAATCGCATAACGGTGTATTGGTGAAGACTTACTCAAAATTAAGGAATATAGTTGAACAACCATTTTGATAGAGTATTCTTTATTGTTCATTCCCTGACATATTTTGTAGATATACAAGAGAGATGTCATGAGAAATCATGATGATATTTCGGAGAAGAAAATGTTTTTTGAAGCATTGGCTGAAGTAAGTTATACACACTGACGGATTTTTGATTTCAACAAAACTCTCTCCCGGCTCATTCATGCTATAAAATACAGTGTATGATTACCATTGTTGAGCAGTAAACTAGTGAGCTAACAATGCAACCATGTTGTGAAACAACAATTGGCCACCAAGCCAGCGAATTAGGTCGATGAAATGAATTTTTTGAATAATAAATTGATGAAATTTCGAATAATTAGTAGCTACCAGTCAGTAATTTGTGTACTAGATTTATTTGTCATTGTGAATAGAATAGGTATTCATCTGTAAAAGAATAATATCCAATATTTGAGGTGAATATCATTTGTAGGCCGATAAAGGTAAACACTTGCTGTCCACAGCACATTGGTTTGTCAACATTTATGCAACATCATTGAGAACTCAATTAGATTTGCTAATTTGCAGTCTGGTTTAGCTAAGTAGATAACAGCTGAGAAGTAATTCAATGCGTCGACATCCTATTTATCGTTGACATTATGGTATGAATTATAGCAGTTTGAGGCAGCTTCTCGAAATTATTAACACTACACACAATTCAGTTTCTACAAAAAACATTGTTTAATTTCACTGAGTTATTATACCGGTGCATCAGTTGACGTTTCGTGATCCTGTTCAATTTCACTTAATTTTTTTATAATTGAAGACAATGTGTGATGGCTACCCTCATGAATTGATGCGTTACACGACACAGTCATCTCATCAAAAATATAAATTCAGGTATTCACCTTGTAAATCCATATGTTTCTTTGATTAATATTCATGTTAATTGTTTGACATATTGATCACTATTTGTCGACTGTTACATGTATCAACACTGCATACATATTAGTTTTTTCGGATTTATAACACAGTAAGGTCCATATTACAAACATCCACCATCTTGAACCATGAAGTCAACATTAGAGTTGTAATTGTGAGCGTCCATTAAAACACATTTAAATGTTCAGATTAAAGTTGCATACGTCAACATTGTTGCAGTAAATATGGCCAACAATCTTCTAGCGTAATTGTGGAT